CTTTTAATGTACTTTTGTAACTGCTATAAAATGTTCAAAACGTAGACCACTACCATCTTATATATATTCAAAATGAAGGTTATCTATCGAACTTTACAATGAGAAAATCTTTGAGTTCCTCATTTTTCAGACTCGTACTTCCAGGTCATTTTTCGTGCTTTTAGTATGCATACGCTTAAGAAACTAAAATTGATGCTAAAACTAAAATTAATACAAATTCGAAATAATTAACTATCTACAAGCATACTGTAGAAGAGGCTATCGTCTTCATTGTTACAAGTCAAGACTGTTTTGTCTTTTCTTTTTCTTGTTGCCCAAGAATGTTGTACAGTATAATTTATGACAGGGTCACTCCTTAGAAATAATCGATTGAAGACATTCGTAAGATTTTCTATGTGTCCACATTTTCGAGAGAGAAATTCTCTAAAATTTCGGATGTCTTTATTACAGCTTTCAAGAGCTTCCTCGGATAACTCGTCGAGTCCGATAGAGTTGTTTCTCTGAATCAGCTCTGTAGAGTGAAAAATCAGAGAGTGAACTGTCATAGAATACTCAATCCATGGAAATTCTTTAATAACTAAGACTGCCAAGTTTATAGTCAGTTGTCTAAACTTATCAACATTGATTAGTTCAGTGGAGGACACAAGACGAAGTATTACAGAATAATACTGCGAGAGCTTTTTGAAAGGTTCTCGATACTTCGAGGGAACGCTTTCAACTATAACATCTCTCTTCAAAGGAAACGAATTTTCGACCTTGGTTGCTAGTGGTTGATGTTCTGGAATTATCCGTTGCGTCCACCTAGTCCAACCGAAGGCTCGTTTTTGTTTCTATTTCGCTAAGGACTAAACTTCGTGCTTTTTTAATCTGTTCTTTAATATCTCCTCGTTCGGACCAATTTAGAACATTGGCTCGAAGGTGGTACATTAATTTAAGGAGCTAAGATACTCCATATATGTATTGATGAGTAATTGTGATAAAATGATTGTCAAGAGTAGACACTGGTTCGCTTGTGAGACCCTGTCTGGTAGCATAATCATTTTTACTCTTGGTAATTTGGCCATCGACTTTAACCATTTCTCTATAGAGAACTAAAGTTTTTTCTGCAGTACGATTAATAGCAAAATAATTTATATCTTGTATTTTATTTTGGTCTTTCCATTCAGCTGATCGAGTGGTACAAAGAAGGCAGTCTGCACCACCCAAACCAGACTCCATTGTACGGACCTTTAAATCTTTCATACTGCTTTTAATACAAACTTTAACTTCGTATTTTTTGTTGTTATAGTTAAAAGCGATGCCTTTTTCCTGTAAGCGCTTTCCACTTGGTTCAAATATACCATTCACATCAGAGAGTAATTCTTTAGACTCTTTTTCAGCTATAAGTGCCAGTGGACGACACCAATGTGAGCTGTTAGGAGTTTGATTTACCCATAAAACTTCACCTGTGGACTTTAAACTAAGTGGTACAAACATCTTGCTGAAGATGTTTACCGTTTCTATAGGTGAATTAGCGGATTTGTAAATAGACATTGTACCAGCTTCATCATGTCCAGTTTTTTCTCAATATTCGAGCTTTTCTGGAACAATGACGTTTTGCTTAAGTAGCATGTCTATTAATCTTTTCACTGTTAGTTGGACAACAGATTCTCTATCTTGCACATACAAGCCTGTTTCTTTGGTGGATGAAGCAGTGTTCCATCGTGAAAGCGACGGCAAGATATTGTTAGAATAGTTTCTGACGTATTCTCTGTTAGTAATAGTCAAATGAGAACTACAAAATGTTTTGAGAAAATCCATCTGGTTTCGACTGAGATCGAGATGAGATTTTAATGCTGACGTTTCATCTAAAGTCAATTCAGTTTTTGGTTGACTTAGATCGTCAGTTTCGTAGCTCTTTGCCAAATTGAGCAAGTTTTTTATTTGTTTGATAGGTGCACTGGTGGATCAAGTAACCAAGAACTTGGTTAACTGTAAGATTGTTCACAGCAGCAAACTCGTCTAACTCCTCGTTTAAATCAGTTGCTTCGTTTTCGCCAATTTTCGAACTGAGACTTCTTTTTTACAAAATTAGAGTGAATTAATTTCGAGATTGTCTCTTTGTTCTCATTACACTCCTCTACGTCCAAAACTTCACATATTCTGATGACAGCCAGCGAACATCTTTTTCACAAGTGTAAAAGATGTCATACAACTGATGTAAAGTAATTGAAGTAGATTTTTCTTGTGAAATACAGTGCACCTCAGTTGGTTTTCCCCCTTTTGTTTTCTTTTGTTTTCATCACTAGAATTCTTTTATTTATTAACTTCCCATATATAGGAAGAAAGCCCAGAACGCGCTGCATCTTTCGGTATATTTACGTTGAAGAACAAATATCCCCCCTATATATGGGAAGTTAATAAATAAACGAATTCTAGTGATGAAAACAAAAGAAAACAAAAGGGGGAAAATCAATTGAGGTGCACTGTAGTTGCAGTTTGAGTTGGAGAGGTTGTTGTGTTTGTTATCATTGCTGTTTCCAGAACTCCCGACCTACTACCGGCGCCACAAGTGCCAAGTAGACTACAGTTAACAATCATCTACCTATCTGACACCCGTGGTCCCACGCAACTGTGCAAAGATCATAAACCAGGTTGATGGTGTTCGGTTATGGATGTGGTACGGTCATGAAAACAAGGATAAGGCCCTGGGTCTCTGCATTTTTGTAATAACAATCTGGATGTGAGGGTACAGCCGAGATGATTACCTCAGTAGAAAGCTAAAATGCTAACAACCTCTGGCTCACAATGCAGTATGTGAGCAGCCGTTAATTGTTCGACCGGGGCCACACTTACTGATTGTTATTTTTAGGAATGTCTCTGGGCTCCCGTTGTGCGCGAAACGGTTTAACAGAGCAGCGCAGAAGATCGAGGGAGCTCTAAACCTCCAAAGAGAGTCCGATGACGTTACCGGATAGGAGCTGAGATCTTTAGGAGGTATAGGTCTTCAGTGCTTTGTCAACCAGACTTTGTAACCGTGCGTAGGTTCTTTTCTGGTCTGAAGATTTATGCCTCTGCGGTCTATGTAATTTCTAAGGCGTTATTAAAATTATTATCAGTTTCTAAATGACGGTAATCTGGACCTTTTCAACAGAATTAATGAAACCATCTAAACCACCCACTTCATTCCACTTATTATTATGATAATCCTTCCCAATGTTGTTTTTAAACGCTTTTATCATAATTTTGTTGATATGGACCTAATAATCGACGTATACCATCTGTAATCTATGCGAAAAAGAGTATTAAAAAAGTTTAGCAAGTGTGTGAGATGTACTCACTGAACCATGTTGTTATGCAGAATAATATTAAAGCACATTAATCTTGGAAAAATTTTTTATCTGAAATACACGTAGAGAAATCAACATATTGTCGTATCTGTATATGAGAACGTTTGCTTTCGCTTGTCATAACAATCTACAATGCCTTCAGCTGTAAAGGTGATGTTCAGTCACTTTATCTTATTATAATACGACAGCTTTTTATCTATGAATTTGACACATCATCAAAGTATCGTATTCCTGGGGGTCATTTCATTATCTGATTAGTATTTGTAAACTTCAAGTGCTAAAATTAAACAGCAATTTCATAAAGGACATACGGTGTTAAAAGCTTTAACAAGTAGAAATGTGTTTAATATATTATTAATCTTGTTGGAAATATACGACGTTCTGTAGTCCAGATACACTGAAAAGATATCATTTGACAGATGGATGAATCTGTCCAATAATGATCTTTTTTTCTAATGACCATTAAGAAACACTATAAATATATATCAATCTATTTCTAAATTTTATATTGTATAAAATTCCGTTCTCACAGAAAATTAAGACAATTTAACTGATAGTCAGAATATTTATGCATTACGTATTAGCAATCTCACAACCGCAATATGTTCTGGTCGTTTTGCTCACATCGGACTTGCATATTATTAGTCATCCGAGTACTGGTGCATTTCTTCAGCCTATAGGTAAATATCAGCCTGCTGATCGAATTATAAATGTATCAATAATTATTCCACTTCCAAGTAGTGCATGCTTTATTGTACCAAGCAATCAATTACCAAAAATTCCACAGTGCAGCTATTTATTACCAATCAGTCATCTTCGGAAAAAAAGGTAATGGGATATTATTAGTTTCACCGTTGCAGCTGGCGCAGCTACGGTAGCCGGTATTAACACCAAGTAGATACATGATATCAAAAACCAAATGCAAAATTTATTAACAACAGTGTCCTAAGTACAGAAACAACATTCTATCCAAACGGCCGAAATTGCTTTAATTAAAGAAGGGGTCATAAAAACTGTTACAAAGTTAGAAGCCACAACAAAAGGTTTAAATGATGTAATTGATATTGTTAATGTCGAGAGACAAAGTATTCGTGCGATGAATAGTAGTTTAGGTTTATTCGATACACGTTTGAATAATTTAGAAAAACGTCAGTCTTATTCGACTTTATATCAGTCTATTGATAACATATATCACAATTGATTAAATCTTTTATATGGTGATCGATTAGATGTCAAAACTATTATTAAAATTGTCTTTGATCTGGTTCAACTTGATTTTGAAACATCGATTTATGCTTCGATGCCTCTAATTGAAGTTGTTACACAACTTCTCTGTTTTCAACAATTAGTATTTATTCCATCTTCACTGTATCAAGCAACATCACCAGATGAAATTGGACGTTTAGTAGGAACAAATTTATCTGGTTTACCGAGAATTAATCATGTATTTTCAGTTTATGAAATATTATCAATTCCATTTAAACACCATTCAAAATTTATTCAGTTAGGTGAGATACAGAGTTCTGATTAATATTCAGAAAATTTTTTCACACTCATTACGTTTTCAGAGCAGAAGAATAGATGCGTACTTCTAAGTAATGCGATCTGTGGCTGTGGAATATGTTCGGTTTGTTCTAGCGCAGTCGTTTATTCATGTAGAAACTTAAATTTGTTATTGTTTCTTGTTGGGGAAAAGTAGATAATTTGTCAGTTACTAATGGAAGAAAATGAAAAATGTCAAAACTCAGTTATGATAGCCATGTTAAGCTTATTATATCAGATTTCTTTCGAGCCTCAGGACAGGTAATCGGTGACTTGCGGTGACATGGAAATCGCATGATATATACGCAGTCAGCAGCTGTTTCGGCTTAATGACATTATTTGGCTTAGAAAAGAATTAATTACTTAAGACATATTGTTAAATTTCTGACTTACTGAGCAGCCAAAAAGTGAGTTCTAAGAATTGTAAGAGTGGTTCTTGTGGCCCGTGAAATTCTTTGTCAGATGAGGTATTGTTTAAATCTTTTCGTTATGCCGTTATGTTACAAGTGGGACTGTAAGCTAGTAGAGTAGACTAAATTAACGTTAATCAGCAATAAGTAGTTATTAACAGGAAGGAGTGAGCGAAAACCTTTCCTTCTGTCCTGTAGTAAATATTCACAACACATTTCTGTCGCTTTTGGTGAGAAAGAAATTTTTATGATTAAAAAGGAGCGGTTCAGAAGATTTTTAATGGCAGCCCTGTGCTCAAGAACCTATCATCATTTGGAATTTAATATCGTTAATGGGCTGAAAAGCTTCGCTCCTTTTTAATCATAAAAATTTCTTTCTCACCAAAAGCGAAAGAAATGTCTGTAAAAGTTTCTTATTGCTGCGCTCTTGTTTGTACCATCTAAAGGGTTCGCTTGTAGTTATTGTGATGTTGGATTGATAGTAAGCCGACTAGCGCTCCAATTGTTATATTTCCAAAAATAAACT